TAGTCTAAAATACAGTAGTATTTTGTTAACAAATGAGAAAATGTAATTTCAATGATTCGTTTTACTAACATTTGAGAAAGATTATTGATAAAGTTTGAGAATAATCATATTGTTTAATTTCATAGAGAATGTAGGTGTTGTAAGTGTAAGTTCTGTGACATGCTCTTTGAGTTTTGCCCTAATTGGTTATCAAGTGTAAATCTTCACTTCCTATTCCATTCTAAAATATTAGAATTTTCTCATTAAATCATGTTTGAATAACTGAAGTCACTCAGGAAGTTAAATATCTCTAAATGTATTTTTTTAAAATTAAAAATTCAGTGCTAGTGTAAATTCTCCTTTTCAGGAAGAACAAAAATGCAAATGTGGAGTCAGATAAAATGATTTACTGAAAGTATGCTTGTTTGGGAAAAGGTTCACAAAGCCTTTAAGTGCTGCCTCTATTACTCAAACTTTAAAAGTTTACAATTTTTAAAGTCCCCAGGGTATGTGTGCAAGGACACATTTTATTATAGGGATTATGCATGTTGTCTTTCTGTTTGAACGTTTGAAAGAGTTAAGTCTTATACACTTTCTAGTTTTAAAAATTTTAAATCCTGTTAAAGCTTTTATGTATCAAGATGTTTCCCTTTAATTGTAGAACTAGTTTATAAAGGATATATTTGGATCCTGTTTAATAACTATAGCATTTTTTACTGCTACTTTTTAATATATTGAAAACATAAAACAAACAAACAAAGAATAAAACAGAAAACACTGGTGGGTCCCGGAGGGAGGCAGCTATGGAAGACACGCTCCCGTGTGGAGACCATGGATGGGCCGTTTCAGGGCATGGCTGCTGGTGACAGGAGCGCAGTGCTCACTCTCTCCTTTCGGTTGAGGGGATGAGAAGGAAGAGATGGCTGGACGGCATTGCCTTTCTGGACAAACCAGGTCTTCCCAGTAGGGCAGTAGAACAGAGATCTGGGAGGACAGACAGGCTCACCAGCCAGGTTCATCCTACAGTTACCAGGACCCCATTCACATGGCAAGAAGGGCCCTGAGAGGCTAGCGACTGCCTCCCTGAGCAGGTCATTCTGGGTCAGAGGGCCTCAGTCCATGTAGCCACCATGGGTGACACAGCTGCGTTGTGGGTTCTGAGCACACCGTGATGGGTGCCGGGATTCCGGATGAGGGAGGCGCAAGGGCACTCTTGCTTGCTGACCACCTGGCAGGACTGGTGCTTTCAGGGGTCTGGGTGTCTGTCCCGACCAGCCCAGGGGTCCTGCCAGCGTCATTTGCTGAGGCTGCCCCGACAATGGCAGGGACGTGGGCTGCAGACCAGAGACCTGGGTCCTGCTGGTCACGGCTCTGCTGGAACTTCATCTCTGGGTGAGGCTTGGGACCGCCCCTCCTCCTGTGCAGTGGTTTCTCCAGGCCTCTCATGGGACGTCTGAGGTTCGGTGACTCACGCTTCTCATCCTTTGAGGCACCGTGTGTCCTCTCCCTGGGGGCCGGGAGGAAGGCCCTCCTCATGCCGCGTCTCTCTGTGCAGCGAAGCTCAGGGAAAGCCACCGGACAGTCTGGGTTTTAGATTCACGTGGGCCAGGCACAGTGAATGTCTCTGTAAATGGCAGCCCGACCTCGGCTGAGATAGAAAGGCTTGACCTTTAGAAAGATGAGAACCTCCAACGGGGCGGGTCCCCAGGGGTGAGCTGCAGAGGCCTGCACTGTAGCCTCTGGCCCAGCTCCCGGCAGGGATGAGAGATGACCCCTGACACTTCTCCTGCCCTCGGGGTCCACTCTGGTCCCTCCTCCACACACACAGGTCAGGTGGTGGGTGCTGCCTCCCCACATGACTCCTTAGCCCTGTCTCTCGGGTCCCATTCCCTGCTTCCTCTCCTGATCATTTCCCTGTAGGACTCCGGGCAGTCCTGCCACAGCCCTCAGAGACCTGTCTTGGCTCTGAGCCCCTAGTGGGGGAAGGGGCTGCAGTTTGCAGACCAGCACTTTCCGTGTCTGCTGCCAGGAGCCCTGCAAAGGCGGCCCTTCTGCTCTCCTCCCTGTCCTGCTCTGCCAGCTGGAGGCCTGGCTACATCATGGGTCCTCCCTAATGTTGGATCGATGGTGTATCGCAGCCATTAGCTAAAAACCACAGGGGACATGGCCTGACATTGACCTCCCTGGAGCCAGGACAGGCCCAGCCTTGGACACGTCCAGACAACATGGCCCTCTGGGAGGTGTCTGAGAAGGAGAGACAAGGGTCAGCCAGGACAGGTGGCCCAGAGTCCCAGGCCCCCCGGTGCCAGCTCGGCTCTCCCACCACCCAGTGTCTCCCAGGCTGTAGGCTCCCTTCGGTCTTTGTAAACCTTAGTTCCCGAAGTTCACGTCCTTCCCTGTAACTCACGACCCTTCTGTGGACCTTAGAGAGGGTTCGCCCCCCACCCTCACTTTGCACTGACATCCTCAGAGTTCATTCCTCTTAGGAAGAAGGGCAGCCCTTTGGGGCCTATCGTGGGCACAAAAGCGCAGCACAGGGGCTGATGGGCAGGCCCCTGGCACCCGCGTGCTCTGGGGACCTGGAGCCTCCCCACAGGAGTCTGCGGCCCAAGCCTGGTGCTTTGAGGAAGACAGGAAACCCATCTCAGCCCAGCGATCTCTCAGAGTGGTTCTCAACCTTCCTAATGTCGCGACCCTTTAATACAGTACCTCATGTTGTGGTGACCCCCTATCATAAAATTATTTTCGTTGCTACTTCATAACTGTAATTTTGCTGCTGTTATGAATCATAATGTAAATATCTGATATGCAGGATGTATTTTCATTGTTCCTGACCCACAGGTTGAAAACCGCTGCCCTAGGGGAAGGGAGGGCCTTCAGGGAAGGACAGGAGTGAGAGTTCCAGTTCCACAGCAAAAAGTAGCAGAGAAAGATGGGGGTGTCCAGCCGGGGGTTGCGGGGGACATGAGGCAGTCACATCTTCAGACCAGAAGCAGCCACACCAGATATGCAAAGGTTGGACATAACATTCCTTTCACTGGGACAGACAGGGCGGCAGGGGAGAATTAACAGTAAGATGGGGAGGGGTGAACAAGGCGGGAGGCATGGGCCACAAACCCCAGGCTCCATCTGAGAGAGCAGGCCTGGGATCGGCCCACTGCCCTGTGTTCGGCTTTGCCGCATCCTCACTGTGGGGCTCTGGGCAGATCACTGGACTCCCTGGGCTGGTGCCCTTCTCTGAATGAGGTTGAGTGACAGCTGTGCAGGGCCTTCCTCCTCAGGGCCGGCTCCGGAGCAGGCAGGGCCATCAGAGCAGATGCCTGCTTCCTGCTGAGCCCAGACCTGGTGCTAGGAAGTGGGGCAGCGATAAGGAAGGAGAAGAAAGATGTTCTCACTTCTGAGAACGACTCAGACACGTGGCACCTTGCAGCGCCTTTTGCTGTTGGCCCTGGCTGGTGGGGCTGCCCTGTCCCCATGTTGGGGCAGGGGGCTGGGTGTGCCCACAGGGTGCTGTGAGGACACGGATATGAGCCCCACTGTGCCTGACCCGCCCCCTCATGGGGAAGAAGCTGCCTGCCTGCTGCTTCCGAGGAGTCTGGAGACTGTGCCCAGACCCATGTGATAAAGGTGGGTGGCCTCTCCCAGAAGTAGGCAGAGCTGGCAATAGAGCTGCTACCCTTCTGGGAGTTTGTAAACCTGCCTGTGCCAGGTGGCCCACAGTCAAGTGAATGGAGCCGGCTCTAGGTTGCTGATGATCACTGGGTCACTGGGTGTCTGAAGGTCCTGCCCTCAGAGGTTCTAGTCTGTGTCCTGAGGTCTGGGGTGTTTAAAAGCTCTGAGAGCCACCTGATCTGGATTGTGGGGCTCCTCTGTTTTAGTTTTAGAGCCGTCATCCCAAACCAGCATCAGGGTCACAAGTCCAAATGCAGGCTCTTGGGCCCCAGCCCAGACTGACCATGTCAGATGCTCTGAGGATGGGAGGGGCCTGGCGCTCTCAGGAGGGGTCAGCTCTTGTTGCACCTGCCACCTGCCAGGTGTGAGCTGAGCACGTCACCCTGACAGAAGCTGGCGCCCATGCCTGCTGCTTGCTGGCCCTGTCAGTTACGGAAATGCACTCGTGGTCACATTGTTAGCAGGGTGCCACCCTCTCCCCCTCCCAGGTGATCATGAGTTTGCTGTCAGTGGGAAGGGACAGCACCATGGGCCTCGCCTGGGAGTCGCACCTCAGGGCCCACCCTGAGTCTGAATCTGAGTTCATCACGGTGTTCAGGTGTCAGGCACAGAGTGTGAGATGTGCGGGTCCAGGCAGTTCATGTTCAGGGAGTGGGCACTGGTGGGTCCCGCAGAAGAGCTCTGTGATGGGCCGCTGATTGGGCATCGTCCAGGCAGGACGGAGCTGGTCTGGCCTGGGCAGCAGTGGGGTGTGGAGGGGGAGCCACATGGGGAATGAGGACAGGCCTTGGTGGTCCATTTACTTGGAGGGGAGAGGAGGGAGAGAGATGGCAGAGGACCCCTCAGAGCAGCTGGTTGAATAGGAATGTCACCAACTGGGTGAAGTCCCTGTAGGACATCCAGTGGTGGCTGCTGGCCCCAGGAATGTGGCCTGACCCTCAGGACAGTAGTGGACAGTAGTGGCCTAAGATGGAAGCATTGAGAGTGAGCAGTGGAAAGCTGGGAGGAAAGCTGACCTATTGGTGTCCATGGCCTTTTTCTCTACCATGAGCTGGAAGTGCACACCATGGGCTGAGAGGTGATGGTCAAGGGTATGGGGAGCTCACTGCACAACTAGGCCTGACCTCGGCAGCAGCTCAGGGACGCCACCCAGGAGCCTGGCTTCTCCCCTCCTGCTCTGCAGTCTTGGCAGTGGCTGAAGTACTTCCCCAAGAAGTGGGACGGAAGGTTTTCCCTTGAGAAAAGGCTGATAAAGTGTTCCCTGGGGCTGACAGGTTTCGGGTTTGCTTTAAAACACAGTTCACTCCCTGAAACGGACTTTTGCATGGGCTGCTTCTTTGGTTCCGCAGATTGAAGACTTGCGAGTTCAGATGGAAAGAGAAAAGCAGACCAGCCAGGTTCTGGAGACTCTCTGTGAGGAGCTGGTGGAGGAGAGAGAACAGCTGCTCCGTGACAAGAAGACCCTGAAGGCTGAGAAAGCCCAGGAGGTAGGCCCTCCAGCGCCATGCCTCCCCTGGCTCCCCGGCCTGCAAGAGTGTGAGTCCAGGATCATAGGATGTCCTGGGAATCCAGCAGTGATTCTCGGGTTACCAGTTTCTTCCCTCAGATGCAGCTCACACCAGCAATTGCAGCCACAGCAGGGGCACAGGGACAGATATTGCTTCCCCCAGCAATTCCAGCCACAGCTGGGGGGGGGGGCAGGGACAGTTATTGCCCCCAGGGACACTGGCAATCTTGTTTTTGATTGTCATGACTTGGGGGAGGAGAGGGGAGGTGCTCCTGGCTGTGGTGGGGAGTGGCCTGGATGCTGAAAACGTCCTGCTGCACAAGGGACAGCCTGCAGGACAAAAAAACATCCCACTTCAAATGTCCAGCATCACTGAGAACCCTGGCAAACCTCCAGGGTTGATCCACCTCACAGTAAAAGAAGTCCCAGGGTAGGCCTCCCAGTGCTGAGTCAGGGGCTCAGGGACGCCACCCAGGCCCCAGGCTTCTCCCTTCCTGTTCTGCAGGAAATCAGAAGAAGCCTTAATCAATAAGCCAAATTTATTTGAAGTCCTATTCATTTTCGCTAACGCTAGCGGGCCCAGAGGAACTCTTTCTTCTCAAATTCTGGAGCCCAATATGGTGGAAGTCTTTTCAATTTATATGTTTTTCAGCTCTTTGTTTTCCAAATTTGGAATGAGACTTCAGGACCTTCTGAGAAAAAGTCCTGTTTGCTGGGACAGGGCCGTGAGACCATATCTCAAGGCCTGGCCTGGTGCCAGCACTGACAACTCTGTCTGGGGCAGAGTTTATGTCCTCTCTGGAGTGGGGAGTAGTCTTATTTCCCTATTATTTAAGGAAGCAAACGTTTACAGAGTAGCAGGGTTAAAGTTTTAAACAGCAGTTTTTACCCAAGATGGAGGTTACTATACTTCATAAAGTGTTCTGTGGGGCTCACAGGTTTCGGGTTTGCTTTAAAACACAGTTCACTTCCTGAAACGGACTTTTGCATGGGCTGGGTCTTTGGCTC